TTACAAAGTGGGAGACTGGGTCTGGCTAGACTTACGCAACGTACGAACGACCCGACAAGCAAAAAGCTAGACTGGAAAAGTGGAAAGTACCAAGTCGCCCGCGTACGGGACCCCTACTGGGTAGAACTCGCGGTGCCCTGGGAGACAAAATCCTTCCATGTAGACAAGCTAAGGCCAGCATCCAACGACCCCTTGCCATCACAACAAACAGACGATAGCAGCCCTGCGGCTATCGTCGTACGAGAAGATGGAGAAGAAGAAGACCATTTAGAATGGCTCGTACAAGGCATCACGGACGAACGAATACGAAACGGAGAACTGCAATATCTCGTCATTTGGATGGGCTACCTAGAGGGCAGTTGGGAACCAGCTACGGCACTTAAAGACACGAAGGCCCTGGACGAATGGCTCGCCCAAACTTCCTCCGTACGAAAACCCAACGGCCGGCTACAAAATGGCTAGAGGCGAAAGCTACTCGATGAGCAACGGAGACCCGGCGCTACCCCCAGAGGCCGAACGATCCCTCTTGGTGCCTAGAAGACGACGCTTAGCTGGCGTACGGACGGACGAACCGTCCCCTCCTCCTGCCGTACAACGGGCGCCATGGTCCTGCTAGATGCAATTGCTACACGCACCACCCCACTCTCCATGGATAGAGACACAACTAGCAAAGGCCGTGAACTCCTTCGCCCCGTCCAAGACTGGCGCACAGTTATCGCAGAACGTAGCATTAAGGGCGCCACGCGAATAGACGAGGAAGGCCTTGAGGTACGAGGGTCGGCCACCCAAGATTTGACGGGCATGGAGCGTCGTACGGGCGACAACAGGCGAATAACCGCTGAGGCCAGGACCAAAGGTAGCATCGTACGGCGACAGCCCCCTTGGACGGCAGAACATGTCAAAGACCCAGCGAAGCTCAGGCTACACTAGTTAGCAAATTCAAACGTACGACAAGAAAGCGACACTCACAGGAGCAGCGGCGAACACTCGGCGAATCTCCTCAGCGACCCGCACGTCAAAAATGTACCAGACCTGGTAGTTGTTGAGGTTAACCCGTCCGACAATGACAGGCGCTGCGGCCTGGATGGCACCTGGCGTTGTACAAGTGAGCAACTGATAAGCAACGTCGAAGATCCGAGCAGTTGCCTGCTTAATGGTGTCGTTAACTCCACCGTTCGTGCAGAAACGCAAGGCGTTGACCTAGCTGTTGGCCCACATCCCACGATTGGCCATTGTACGGGAAGACTTGAGGAAGTGACTATAATAAGAGAAAAGTTGAAGCTAAAGGGATAGAGGAAACAAGCAGTAGGCAGGGGAAGAAGAGTATTTATGCTCGCCGGACAGCGTTTGCTATATAGCACCGTTGCCTAACTCTCTCTCACCTTCACTATTTGCCTTTACCTTAACCATACGAGACGCCAAACATGTGATAGCAAACGGACGGAGAGAAAGGAAAAGAAGACTAAGGAATACGCACGTGATATTGGACGAGGTGAAGGAGGGGAGTATTGTAAAGGGCTACGCCAGAGAGGCATGACCTACAGGTCACATGGCAGTGAATCACATGACTTTAGTCACGTGACTAAATGACGTAGTTAGTTACGTACGAACAAGCTTAAGTAAGGAGGAAGACTAAAGGTCTGAGCGTTTGTACGAGTAACAACTATAAAAGGAGGGCCCTCTAGATAGTTCTTTTCTGTATCTTTCTTCTTCTGTACAATAGGTGAATGCATACTCGTTAGTTAGGCCTCTCTCGCCTATAACAAATATAGCTGTTAGCGCTATATAAGGTAAAAAGTATTATAATTTTTAAGTCTCTGGAATTTAAGCTATGATACTCTAAGTAATAGAGCTTTATATTATATCATGATAGTCCGTTATAATAGTAGTAAAGTAATACTAGTAAGTAGTTTATATAAGCTTCTTTTTAATATATAAAATATTACTTCTTTTATAATATATCTTCTTTACTACTTATACTATTAACTTGGAAGCTTTATTATCATATTTAAACTTATGAAGTATAAAGATAATAATATTATTATATATTAACGTGGTTCATGAGCGAGTCAGCCACCTAAGCGAGTCGGCCACTGTATACTAGCGCGTC